CGGAGCCCGAGGCGCTGCCCGGCTCCGCGGCGCGGAGGAGGCGGCCCCAAGCTCTCTCCTTTCGGTTCCTCAAACGGCCGCAGGTCGCTGTGCGAGCACGCCACGTACCCCCAGCTCCCCCAGGAGCTAAAAGGGCGCCGTTTTGAAAACTTATCACTGGAAATCTGCCTTTTTCTCTTCTAACACGCACGCGGTCATCTATCAACTGAGAATACCCATTCACCACGATTTCAGTCTCTGAACACGCTCTTTGCTGACCATTGCTTCCTACAATATTCTCAAGAAACCACTGATTCAATACTGACATTTTTAGTATAACTTAAGAAGGAATCGCTCAGGAATCTCCTATCAGATCATTCGGTATCATTGTTCTTCTCACTAATTTCCATAGTAGGAAGGCAATACAAGGTCACTGTTGTCAAACATGCAGTTTACTACACCGCGGTAGCATACCATCTGAATATATTGTACTTACACTTGAAGGCTTTGTATCACGACACGCAGAACATATCAGGAGAAATATTTTTCCAATTCATTTTTATTTTGGTTTCCATTGTCTACAGCATTGATACAGGAATAATTCATGCAAATTTATCACCTTAAATACAGCAGAGAGAAAACTCACTGGTAAGAGTATTTCAAAGAGCTCCATCAACATAACACAATGAGAAAAATAAGTAGCAGCAATAAGATAAAGTGCATTCAGCTGACCTTCTTTAATACGAGTTTGGGGAAGACTGTTTTTGGAATTACCTGTTCTAAGGATTAGTTTATCATTCTTTATGAAAAGCAGAAGAGCACCGCCTCCTTGCTGATCGTGTTCATTCCCCCACCACCCTGAACTAAAGAAGCACAGCTGTATTTTGTTTAAGAGGAATCCAGCTCATAGGCCTTTCTGTTAAAAGCTTGATTCTCGATCACTCAGGCTTCTAGGGACGAGGGTTACACATACTTAAAAATTCTTCTCTCCCATGTTAGCAGTTTTGCTTCTTAAAAAATTCAGGCGGTTCTTCCCCCTGTTCTATAGGTTAGGTTTCGGCACTGCAGTGAGAATGCCTACATCACCAAAATCTGAACAGTGTCAGAAATACACATTAGCAAGACACCAGATTCTAAGAACCCACCAATCTCTTTTTCCTTTATAGATCAAATTCTGGCTTAAAGATCAGATCATTTATCAGATTTCCCCTAACGGCCTGCTGAAGAGATGCTAATGGAACCTGTCTTCAAAAGCAAGGTCAGCGTTTCAGGTAGCCTAGAGCTGCGGAGCAGTAGTACATCATCACCTCCCTCTATCCGGAACTGACAATTTCCTGGCGTGTTAGGGATGTACTTAGTATTTCAACTCAACAGCATAGTACATAGCCTGTTACGAAGGCGTATGTGATAGCTTGAGAGACTAGAGATCCACATTTATTCACATAATACCTGCAGCAGAATAACAGTGGATGATTCCACTTACTCCAGAATACTTCACCACAAGCCTAGAGGACACATTTCCAGAGGCAAGGACTCAAATTTTCTTTCTTACCCATTCTCAGATCTGATCCAAGCCATATTTATGTCCTGGTGGTTGCCTGAGGAAACCGACCAAGGCCAACGAAGCCCTCTGATGCAAATGGCTTTTCAGTTTGGGTTGGAATCAAAGCTGTCTACTGGAAGTGAAAGGTTTGTTTGCTTCCTGAATTCCAGGGATGTAACAAGAGTCTCACTGCCAGCTCCAACATGATCAAGATACTTCAAGTCTTACTGCAAATCTTAGAACTGCCTAAAATACTTACTGACATTTCACTATTCCTCAAGTATCGGGCAGCTTCTTTCTGGAACTTTCGCAACACACGAAAACGGGGGACTTGTCACAGGCACAGATATTCACACCCGAGCATGAACAAGAAATTCTAAGGCCAGCCAATACCATTTTCATGTGAAAAGTCTCATCGTCAATAAGAAAAAAAGGAAACACTCTTAGTAGTTCTGAATTCAGCTGGGACTTGCTCAAAAATAACTCATAATTCTCTAAAGTTCGAAGCTGAACAGATTTAGGTTGTCACTAACCTCAGAACCACAGGATCTGATTCTGGATTCCTCAGATATTTTGTGGGGAACAGAAAGGTTATACCCAAGACGTGGCAAAATACTGACCCACCAAGTGGAAAAGAAACTTTGCAACGTAGGAACCTAACCCTGGTGCTACCATAATCAGTGGGAATTTCTCCTCCATCAATTCCAATAGGAAGAGACTCAAGTCTTTACAATTCCCAGATCTTCTACTCCAAATTCAAAACTGCTTCAGGGCAAAACTCAAAGATTAATTTTATCTACCTGCAAATAAAGAATGTCTTGAAAAAAAATGAGTTGTCTTAACCCATTCTTCGCCTGGCGTGAAATACAAGGGACAGGCCTCCTCCTGCCCCAGAAGAGCTGCGCTTGCCAGCTCATTCTCATGCTTCTAACAGAAGAGAAACAACATCAAATCATATGGCTGCATGGGAACTCTATGTGAAGCAAAATCTCTTACAAGCTTGTAATCCACATGCTGGTTTTGTGGCCAAACAGTGGTAATGGAATTCCAAAGGCCTGCTTCCAGAAACACAGCTGTGTGTTTCCAAAAAAACCCCACATTCATCAACTTCCCTCATAAGGCAGTTAATTACATTCTGCCAGCTGGCTTTTCTTCCCTAGTTTTCTTCCTCAGCAGGCTGCCAAATTACCCGCACTACCTCCTTCACAGGAGCTAGTTACGTCTTTGCAAACTACGTGACCATGACGTGAAATGGGCCAGACTGCATTATTAAATAGCTCTTAAGAGGAAGAAACTGACTACAAAGAAAATAAACTTACCAAAGCAAAAATCTTAGTCCCTCTTGCTCTGGAAGAGAACTGGGGTTTGTTCATAGGTTTAAACATACTGACAGTAATAAACCTTTCTATGAAGGGACACGGTGATTCTCTGTCGTGTTCTAGAATAACGGAGTATTAACCTGGGAGATAGGCCTGCACGGGCTATAAAAGCACTGTGAAGCCATCATTACACCTGTGTGCATGAGATCTGTGCTTAGGCAAACAGCTGCTTGTCACACATACATAAATTTGGGGCTTGGAAGTCAAAAGTTTTACCTTCATGTAGTAAAATGAATCACTCCATAAAGACCTGTCAGAGTAACTTTTAACCTGATAAACATTTGCTTGTTCATTTTAAATTTGTTACTGTACTTGATTTTGCTTTAAAAAGCCCCCTGTAAATGTATGAAGCACACATTCCTTCTGAAGTAGCCAGGTCTCGCAAGAAGGATAAGGAGTTACAAACAGCTAGTGTTTAGAGGTGGGACAAAATGGGGAAGCAGAATCCTATTCTTCACACAGCAACTGGAAACACAGCAATAGGCTTTTGCTCATTCCCTTCAGGGAATTCCATCACCCACCATATTCTCTGCAGTAATTAAGAGAGCACTGAAGGGAAACAGTGTTGGTTTTCTCTTCTTCCCGCACTATCTACTTTGCTGCAGGTACTGATGTGTGAACATGTTGAGTTCACTGTCAAGCCATCCAGCTTTATTCCTGCAAGGACAGAAAGTCTCCATTAGGTGAGTAAAATAACTCTTCTCCAGCCAATCTGAAAGAAGGATGACTAAAATGCGTAAACAGCAAGGCAAGGAGAGCAGTACCAGAGGTCCATTCCAAAATGCTGCTACCGTTCCTTGCCCTTCCTCAGGTCAGGAACTCTGGCCCGCTAACAGTCCCTAAGCTTTGAGGTTCAAACCGAGATCCTGGTCACAACTTCACATTGATCTTATTGTGTAGATAAGGAATGTTTGAAAAATTCTTCCCAACAGCCTTTGCAGCGTGAATAAAAACATCAGACAACTGTGTACAAAGGTGAGGGTGAGGCTTTTTGCATGATTTTGTAGTAGCCTGAAGGAGTTTGTAAGAGTAGAGGACTGTATGTTCTGACAAATGGAAAGGAACTGTAATTCCAAACAAACCAAAAACCAGAAGGAAAAGGTGTTTTGTGAGACAGAAGACTTAAAGGACTGTCGACAGCACATGGGAAAGTACATAGTGAAAGGGAATGTGATTTGTCAGAGTAAGATTCTTTCGTCTGCTCATCAAGTGCTATGGTGGAAGGACTGCACTCAAAGATACGCCCTAATCCAAACATCTTGGGGCAATCACATGAGAAACAACTGTATGCCGATGTCCATCTATATACGGGACAATAAAAACTCACCTGAGCAGTTTTGCTTTGCTCTGCAGTGAATCCAGAACTTCAATTTTTTTATTCATGGCAGAAATTTCCTGCTCAAGATTCTCCCGTGTGACATCCACTTGCTGACACAAATGAGCAAACGTTCCAGCAAGCTCTCTATGAAACAAGGAGAATAGTTGGACATGACAGAAAGTTAAGATCAAGCAGCAAATTCAAGGAATGAACCCCTTTGATATATAGGGATGATGACAGTGACTCAGATGTTCATCTTTCCACTTCTGCACAGTATGTTAGAGCATCAGAGCAACTTGATTTGAGAGATGGAAGTACATTAAGACTAATGCTTAAACAGCACCCAAATACTACGTTGGTGATTCAAAAAACTGTAATGATCTTTTAAAACACAATGTATCGTTACACATTTTTTTCAA